AAAAAAAAAAAAAAAAAAAAAGAAAAAAAAGAAAAGGAGATTAGGGAGGTGTGTAAAATGTGGGAAACAGTGCAAAGTGTTGTAAAAAGCACCGCCCGAATGAGGCTGGGGTAGTGTGCATGGCGAATCTGTTTAACAAGGGTACAATGTCACATTTCCGCGAAACCCTCAAAAGGAGGCGAAAGCAAGTGTCACAGGATAGGTTCCTTGCTAAAGCTGCAAGGAAAGAAAAAGACTGCACTGGGGCCGCAGATAGCAGAGACTCCGTGAGTGACAGTGAGCACTGGGGAGGGCGCGAGCCGTGATCCCATCGCTACCGCCCTACATGGTGCAGCCCTCCTCCCTCTCGCCTCCCTCACACCAGCCACGGTTTTCAAAGTGAAGGGCAAGTTACCTTGTTTGTAGATTTTGTATTTTCTTTATTAGTTTGTATTATATTACAATATTGTAATCATTTTTATATGAATATTCTTGGGTTGTAGAACAAATCGTCTGAGTTTGCCGTCTTTTCTTATCGGGAAATTCCCTTCGATATGTGAGTGCTTTGGATTACAGGCATGTTTCCCGGAAAAATTGTGCTTGCAAACCAAGGTGTACTGAACTATATCCTTCAGTTTCCTTTGAGCGAGAGGTGAGCATATGACACAGTGCTGGCAAATACAACACAGGCGGAAGTTTGTGGACATTGCTTCTCTCTCTCCTCTCTTTATCCTGGAAAGTGGACTCAGTGTTTGGAGTTGCAATAGCTATCCTGGGGCAAGGAGGAAAAGGCCAACAGCCTTTTTTTTTTACAGAGATCTTGTCCCTGAAATCATTGCGTTGTCAACTCCATACCAGAAACTGATATTCTGTTAAATGTAACAAAAGGCAAGCCCAGCTTATACAAAACTGAACAAGCTATAGAATGAGGAAAACTCACCACAGAACCTTTTTTTTTTGGTCTTTTGAGACAGGGTCTCACTATGTAGTTGAGACTGACCTGGAACTCACTATGTAGCCCAGGCTGGTCTTGAACTCACAGCGATCCTCCTGCCTCAGCCTCCCGAGTGCTGGGATTACAGGTGTGTGCCACCACACCCGGTTTTAGTCAGTTTTAACTTTTCTGGATGGACTATACAGAGTCAATAAACACATCAACCTCCACAATCAGGGCGATCAATCCTTCTCACATCTCCCCAGTGCTCACAGTAATTATTTTATATAGTATCTTTGTGTGTGGGGTGGGTACTGGGACTTGAACCCATGGCCTTTTCTGTGTGGTAGGCAAGAGCTTTAATGCTGTGTCTCCAGATCTTTTTATTTTATTTTGAGACAGGGTCTTGTGGTATTGCCCAGTCTGGCTTGAACTTGTGAATCTCCTGCCTCAGCCTCCCAAGGAGCTAGTATCACAAGCATGCACCACCATGCCCAGCTTTATATAGGGTCTTTAGATCACAACTGAATGTTCGTGGTTACAGAATAATCATAATCATTTTTCATTTTGCCTGTGATATGGTGTAAATGTAGCAGGCCCTTCAAAACCTCTTGGGGGAGTGACAGTACCCAGGAAACAAAGGTCTACTTAACTCTGGGGGTGGGGAGACAGGGAAGGGGTGCCTTCCCTCCCCCTGGATTTCCTTCATGGCTCCCAATCTTGCTCTCTTTCTCTCCCCTCTCCCTCTGACCCTGCTCTGGGCTTCCGTGGCAGGCTGGGCACTGGGGCATGAGACTTCTCAGTTCCATGGGTCAGAGAGGAAGCAGAGGGAAAAGGGCCAGGGGTCTGGAGGCTCGAAAGCTCCCTACTAGGTCCCTTGGTGAAGGTGGGCAATCCTGGGGAACACACAGCTTCCTGCAGTTTCCCGAGCTAGACACAGGAGCCACCTCTGCAGCCTTCGGCACTGCTGGCCACTTCCTCCCTGAAATCCTCTGCTCCTTTGGCTCCTATGACAAGAGCTTCTCGTTACCTGTGCAAGACCCAGCCTTTCTTCTTTCTTACTAATTAGAACTCCTCCTTCCTCTTCCCCAACACCATGCCATCTATTGGCTTGTCCTGTAGACAGGGTGACCAAACAGCAGCTATTAGATGGGCTACAAGTAAAGCTCCTTCAAGAGGGGGAGGAAGCTGATGGTGTATGCATGCCATTTATTTCTGACCTATCTTCCTTTCTCTTGCATGGAGCACAGTCCTGATGGCTGGAGCTGGAGCAACCATCTTGTAACACATGGAAAAGGCCAAACATTATAAACACACGAATTCTACGATCCTACAACTCCTGACCTAATTCTGGCAACTTCTTATCTCCCCACCTGGTTCCATTAAAAAAATAAGCTCTGTCTTGTTTAATTCACTGGGTTTTCTATGATACACAGCCGAAACCTGGCTCTTGTGACTACGCCACTCTTGCCCTCCTCCATCCCCTCCATGCTAGTATTCCTCGGCTTCTGTCGGGGCTCTCTCCGCCACTATTTGGGGACTCAGTGGTGCCTACAGCTGCCCATGATGATAGCAAATCCACAGCCCCAGATTCACAGGTCTCAATGCCTAGAGAACATCTCCAGCCACCCGTCCTCCAGAGATGTCACAGAGAGATCACAACCGAACCTGCCAGCTCTCCTGGAATTCTGCTTCTCCTCTGGTTCCTGGAGCAAGCTGCCTCCTGCTTCTACCTGAAGGTCCAAAGTCCCATGGGGTCTCCTGTCAGCTCCAGTTTGCTCCCACTTCTCCAGTCCCATTCATCGACAGACACCGTTGTCTCTTTTCCGGGCCACTGCATTCGCTTCTTTTTTTCCCCTGGTACCGGGGATCGAACTCAGGACGTTGCACTTGTGAAGCAGGTTCAAGGTACCACTGAGCTAAATTCTCAGCCCTGTATTAGCCTCTTAACTAGCTTTCCTGACTCCTGTGACCTTCTAAACTGGTGCTGGGTTGTTTTGGTTTGGTTTTGGATTTTTTTGGAACTGTGAATGAACTCAGGGCCTTTACACTGAGTTGCATTCCTAAGTCTTTTTAAAATGAGACAGGATCTCAATAAGTCACTAAGTTGCCCGTACTCAGTTGGAACCTGTGCTGTTCCTGCCTTAGCCTCCCACAGTGCTGGGATTATAGGTGTGCACCACAACTGGTTGGGTTGGTCTGATTAAAAGGCAATCTAATCACATCTTTCTTCCTAAAATGTGTCAGTGGCTCCTTGTCCCCCACAAGAAGGCCTCCAAGGCTTTGGCTTGAGCTGAGCCCTGAGTATCTTAGAAAATTCCTTTACACCACATAAAATCACCTGCTAGTCCCCAAATTTTCCATGATTTTTCTCATTTCCTTGCCTGAAATGTGGCTTGCACGCTGAAAACTATACAAAAAGAAAACGGTAAATGAATATATCCAAACTTGAAATTAGCCCTTGTTTTCCAGGGGAATCTCACACCTTTAGGCACAGAAACTCAGTGGTAAAAGACCTGTTAGGCTTCCAGAGATGTCATACAGTTCAGTTAGCATAACAGCTTAAGTAAATTCTCCTTTTAACCAAAATTTTACTTTCCTCCAAGTTAAGGCCCCTCCCCCATTCCACACTCAGCAGTAAAGGAGAGCTTTTACTTTTAATGTGCTAAGGGTCAGGCACTGCTTTTTCCTTTCTTTTTTGGTTTTTTGAGGCAGGGTCTCACTATGTAGTTGAGACTGGAACTCACTATGTAGCCCAGCCTGGTCTTGAACTCACAGCGATCCTCTTGCCTCAGCTTCCGACTGCTGGGATTACAGGCGTGTGCCACCACACCTCGCTTTCTTTTTCTTATTAAAGTTTGCCTCTCAGGACCATGAAAGCTTGGGGTCCAGCCCCTCATTTTCTAGAAGAGGAAACCAAGGCACTATGGGGTCAGGACGGGCACTGTGGAGGTAGATGCTGGTGGAACATACTTGGACGTTGACCACAGATTTAGTTCTTTCCATTCCCAACCCACAGAGAGGCCTCCTCCCACCCCCACAAGCAGAGAGCAAAATGGCCGCCATGGAGCCAATTAGGCCAATGCTCAGGTTCCATTTTACCTACAGCAAGATGACACATGAGGGCTTTAGGGAAAACAAAATCAGAAGCAGTAAGTCCACAGCCGTTTGCCCTCCCCACTCCTGTCTGACTCTGTGGTGTCCACTCGCCCTCTGGGTGACAGGCCTGTCATCCTGGATCTGCACAGCCAGCCCCATGTCAGACAGCCTGCAGTTGCCAAGGTCATCGAGCACATTTTCGGGCTTCAGGTCCCGGTAGAGGATGCCCAGGCTGTGGAGGTGCAGCGTCCACAGGCCATCTGGGCTGAGTAGAAGACCACGCGGCTCACAGCCAGGCCCCGGGTGCCCACACGGTAGATGTGGAACTCGAGGTCACCTCCATTCATCAGGGTCATGACCAGGCAGAGGTGGGACTTGCTCTCAAAGGCGTAGGCCAGTGAGACGATGAAAGGGCTGTTCGCCTTCTCTAAGATTTCCTTTTCTAGGAGAGCCATTTTCTCCCCATTTTTCCTCTTCAGCCGCTTCTTGTCCAGTTTCGTACAGGCACACATCTTACCAGTGTTTTTCACCTGGATGGCACAGACAGGGAAAGACAGGGACAGGATGAGGTGAAAGCAGACAGCACCGAGGAGAGGCGGGACAGAGGACGAGGAAGGGTCATGTGTGATCAGCCAGGGTAAACAGAGGGCAGCCGTGACGACGAAGGGTTCTCAGGAAAGTGCAGGACTAGGATGCTACAACACTGCAGTTCAGACAGCACTTACCGCACTAGGCTGGCATCATAAAAAAAAAAAAAAAAAAAAAAAAAAAAAAAAAAAAAAAAAAAAGGAGGGAGGAGACTGAGGGCACTCAGTGGTAGAGTTCTTCCCTAACTTGCACAAGGCTGTTGGTTCAATGTCCAGCACAAGAAGAAGGGGGCGGGATACAGGGGGATGACAACTGCTGGCTAGGATGCGGGGCAACTGCAGCCCTCCAGCTTTTCCGGGGGGAGAGACTTGGATGGCTCCTGTAAAAAATTAATCACAGAATCTCCACGTGCCCCAGCCATTCTACTTGTAGTTTACCCAAGAGAAATGAAAACAAGTATTCAAACAAACACTTGTTTGATCCTCAGCACTGCAAAACAAATAAATAAGCTAACCAATAAAGAGTCCCAAAGTACTTGTACGTGAATATTCATAGCAGCACCATGGACAACAGCCAAAGCAGCCCAAGGGTCCATGAGTCCGTCAGCGGATCGGATAAAGCGCCCGAGGCGTGTTCTCATCGCAGAATACTGTCCAGACTCAGCGGTGAAATGCTGATTCATGCTACAGTGTGAGCGAACCTCCCAAACCTTATGGCCACTGAGAGAAGCCGGATCCCAAAGGTCACGTATTGTATGAAATCTCCAGAATAGGCAAATTCCCAGCGACAGAAAGCAGACTATCGGTTGCCAGGGCCAGAGGAAGCAGGAGTGGAGAGTGACTGCTAATGGATCCAGGGGTGACAAAACTGTCTTGGAATTAGGCAGAGGCGATGGTTATACAACACTCAGTGTGCTAACTGCCACTGTATTGTCCACTATAAAACTGTTAACCGTTGATTTCATGTTGTGTGAAGTTTGTAAAAAAAAAAAAATAGTTTTCTACTTAGCTGAGCACAGCAGCGGCACAAAGCAGGTTCTCGACTTTCCTTCAGGATGCACATTTTCTTAGCTATCCACTCCTCTCAAATTACCTGCGTGGCCCCTGCTAAGGGGAAAAGGTCTTCTGCATACACAGCTGGTGCCTGTCATTCCCCGAAGTGGCCGGGGCATCTCAGCACGTTCCCGAGGTCGATCCCATGATAAAGATTCTTGGCCAAGTCCACATTTTGAGTCCCTAGTACCATTTATTACACGGCGACCGGAAAGAAGGGTAGGACGAATGAGCCAGGAATTTCCCCGTGCGATGCTGAAATTAGTTCTAAAAATGTTCCCTTGCGATTTAACAAGCAAATAAAAAGGCGAAACGCTCCGCTTCTGTGCACGGTACCCTCCGGCCTGTACCCGGAGACGCTCACCTCCCAACGCCGCCTTTCCCCGAAGCGCTTGTCAGATGCCCGCTGCGTCTCCAAGAGCTTGCACTGCAGGAATGTGCCGTAGAAGGGCTCTCCGGGAAGTCTCTAAAGGGCCGCTCCTGCGAAGCCCACGGCCCCAGCCTTGGCCAGTGCCACCACGGCCGCACGCTCTTCCTCGGTGGTGGCTGCTCGGCACCTGGTGACCAGCGCAGGGCTGAGGCAGGGACACAAGTGGCAGCAGCCCCTGCAGTGCGACGTCCTTGGCGGCCCGGCTCGGACAGCTCCCAGGCCTGCACCTCCTCCAGGAGGCAGTCTCGGAAGAGGCGGCGGCCGATGGGCTGCTGCTCGCACAGGCTGTGGAAGCGCGGGGCCAGGGCGCGGCGGAGCTCGGCACAGTCCTGTGGCCCAGGCGTCTCCCGGCTGTCGCAGTCCGAGGGCTTGCGGGCCCGCAGGTAGGCAGTGTTGGCGCTCAGGTTGTCCAGGCCCCCCATGTCCACCATGGCTGAGCACAGGCGCCCCCAGGGAGGTGGGAGGGCAGCGTGGGGCCTGTCTGGGCCGGCGACCAGCTTCTGAGGTTACCTAACTGCCCCGGGGATTTGCAGAGTCGGCCGGCCTGCCCGCGCGACCCTGGAGGGTGCCAAAGAGGTTTTCCGGTAAGAAGCTTTGCCTGGCTATGTATAGCCGATTAGTGGCCGGCACAGGAAAGGTCACGCTCCCATTCACAAGGTCGAAGCCGCTGGCATCACCTTCCTGCCCTAGTCCATTTATCGGGGCCTTTCTGCAGCGCCCTGGCTCTGCATATTTGGCTACCAGCTTTCAAAATAAGGGAGCAGTATTTTAAGTTATTCCAACGTTGCATGTTTCCTGCCAGGCTTAGGCTTGGTTAAATCCTAGAATAGCGTTGGGGAGGTTTCCTCCTGGAGTCTAGCAGCCTGACACACACAGAGCAGGGCACAGAAGGGGATGCTCTGACCTGGGGTGGTGACACACACCTAAAATCCCAGCACTCTGGGAGCCGGAGGTAGGAGGATCACAAATTTGAACCCAGCCCGGGCAACTTATTGACTTAATGAGAACCTGTCTAAAAATAAAAAAATAAAGGTAGGGCTGGGGATATAGCTCAGTGTGAAGGCCCTGGATTCAATTCCCAGTGTTGCTAAATCAATCAGTCAATCAACCAAGGATCCTCAACCAGAAGAGGATCCTCTGAACTTTGAGTCCTAAAACATGCTCACAGAGACACTGGGGACTCAAGTCATGGCTCTTGGGTTGCCTTGTGAAGCCTTCAAAAATCTGCCAGCTATAATACCAGGCGTGTTGGCACACACCTGTTATCCTACAGTACTTAGGAGGCTGAGGCAGGAGGATCTCTATGAATTCGAGGCCAGCCTGGCCTGAACTACATAGTGAGAAACTGTCTCAAAAACCAAAAACAAAACAATTCCAGCTACAGTTTAGGTAGCTGAGAAGTCAGCGAAATCATGTGTCCCGGTTAAAGAGAAGGGAGTGTCACTTTTGACACCACGCATATCTTTAAGCAGGAAAGGTCATGTTTCTGCAGAAAATCCATGAAGGAAATCCCCTGGGAGTGTGGGCTCTGAATGAAGCAAGAATTTTCCATGACCCCACAGACAGCATGCTACTCCACAGCACGTGGTCATGGCTGTCCCAGGGGCACAGACTAAGTAGTGGGCTGCCAAGTCGTGTGGACAGCAGCACAGGGAAGCTTCTGCTGCTGCCACATCATCGCCCAAGGAAGCAAGGACGCCCTTCTCCTTGGAGGACGCCGGGTGCTGAGTTGTCACTGACCACGGCCTTACCAGGAACAGAAATTGAGTTAGACAGCGATCAGGCAAAGAGCCTCTGTTCCAGAAATAACAACTTGGGCTCTACAGGGAAAGAATACTCAGGCTTTTTTTTTTTTTTTTTTTTTTTTATCAAAGCAAGGCTAAGGCAGCTTAAAAACAAAGTCATTCAGTATTATGCCCAAGCAGTTACTAAGAGGGGGAGGGGTCGAGTCCGTCTTTTTCCAAACAAACAACCTCTAGCAAACACTCTTGTCAAAACATCACTCCGGTCGCCTCGCTCTGCCTGTCAGCCTCTGACCCTTCCCCAGAGTAGCTGCACACTTGGCCTCACACTCCGGAGAGTTATGTAACGAACTCATGGGTGCCCTTGGCTTCCCACTGCTGAGCTGTAAACGATCATTTCTCCTGTAGAGATGGGTGATCGGCGTAAGTGCCCGCTGCCCAGAATCATGCCATCTGCCCTGAAACCCACAAGAGCAACACTGGTACTTTCCTCTTCTTAACATGTTATACTGGGCCCACATTTCTGAGCAGTGAAAAATCAATCTGATAATTTCTTCTGACAAGGAAATGCCTTTTCCCAAGGATTGTATGAAAACAGCGGTAATCTAACAGCCAGAACTCTGAGAAAACAGTAGAATTGTCATCATATAGCTATTTCAATGGGTGGGGGGGATGCCTTAATGGATGCACAATATTCTATGAACTGATGGATCCCATTCATACTAATACTTTGTAAAAAGTTCCCAGTAATCACTTAATTTAGCAGTATCCAATAGAAATACAGGAAACCAAATGAAATTTAGTTTCTAGTTACCACATTAAAATGGCCAAGAGACTGAGGCAGGAAGATTGACATGAGTTAGGGGCCAGCCTGGGATACACAGTGAGTTCAAGGCCAGCTGGAATTACAGAGCAAGACCTCTGTCTCAAAAAAAAAAATCTTTTCAACGTATAATTGATGTAAAGGTTGCTAACAAGGTATTTTACATTCCCTTTTGTGACCCAAGTCTTCACGCATTTAACAACACATTTCAGTCCAAACGAGCCACACTTCCGCTGCTCAGGAGCCAATATGTGACTACGTATCGGAGAGCACAGGCTTAACCTTTACTTATGCAGCTTAGTCAGTCACATAAAAAAGGAAGTTTTTCTTATCATTGGTTGGTTTTCTAGTCAGTGATAATAGAGATCATCCAGGTAAAAATATTTTTTTTGTAAATTAAAAATTATCTGGCCAATGAGAAAAGAATTTAAATAATATTCAATGCAAAATGTAGACGTTATAAACTGGCGGTATGATGCCCTCTGGCAATTTTAAACAGAATACTATTATTTTGAAAATTTGGCCTACACGATGACATAGTGAAGTCTGTTTAAAATAGAATAGTTCATGTGATGGCTAACAAGGTCCAACAGTTCCCCAACCGGATGAAAACAATAATGTCAGTCCCATAAAAGAAAGGCACCAAATCCTTATCTTACAAGCAGAGCCAAATTCAGGATACTCAAGTAGGTGAGGTCGGGGTGTGGTTCAACAGTTTTGAGTACTAAACTACTACTACTATGAGCACTACTGGGGGGATCTGAATATTGGCTCCCTCACCTTAGCTATGTGAACTTAGACAAGATACTTAACTTCTCTGAGCCACAGCCTCGTCATCTGTAAAACAGAAGTGATAAATATTGATTTTGGGGGGGTAAGCTCTTAAAAGGATTAAATGTCAAATAATGCCTGTCACAAAGAATTGATTTTTTTTTTTTTTTTTAAAAAGCACGAGCTTTTAAATGATGACCATCATTCATCAAAATCCGGCCCCAAATGATCTTTTCCTCATATGCAGACTGGAAGGGGAGAGACCTGGCAATGTGGGAGACGGGTTCCTGTGTCTGTGCCCACCTCGCCCAGGGTTTGCAAGAGAACTTGGAAAGCTGGGCGCTCCGTGGAGCTGCAAGACAGGGAGAGCAGAGTGAATGAGATGCAAGGTTTCAGACAAACTATTGCAACTAAATGATTTGCTGTATTCTACCATAAAAATTGTCACGTGAAAACTTTTGAACAAAAACTCATCACTTTCATAAGCTATGCATTTTTGGACCAACTTTATAGCCTGGAGGAAAGAAAAATAAGTGCTCTTTGCTCAGATCTCCCATTGTCCTTTGTGTCATTTAAAACTTTTTAAAAAATGATGTGCAAGTTGTAAATTTTTTTGCTTTTGTGTTTTGAGACAGGGTCTCGCTATTTAATTCAGGCTGGGCTTGAACTTGTTCCATAGGCCTGGCTGGCCTCAAACTCTTGGCAATCCTCCTGCCTCTGCCTCCTGAGTGCTAGGATTACAGGTATGTGTCATCTCACCTGGCTACGTTCTAAATTTTAAAACATTCTTAATACCATGCAACATTTGAAACACAAAGAAGATATTTAAAAAAAAGTTTTAGACTAATAATTAGTAATAGGACTTGATTAATTTGCTCCCTCCCCCAAGGGTTTTAATTTAAAAAATATATCCAAAAATGAACTGAACAAGCAAAACAGCAAGACCAGATCTCTAGTAAGAACACGATCAGCCTTTAAAATGCACATTTCTCTGCAGGACAAATATCAAGACTTTTTTGCGGGGAGTGGTACCAGAGATAGAACTTGGAACCAAGACTATTTTTTAAAACTTTTGTTTTTTTATTAGTTTACATCTGCAGTGCATAATGATAGCATTTATCATGGGGCATTGGTGAATACATACCATCTCTTAATTCCTCTACATTTCCTTCCCTCCCTTTCTTGGCCTTCTTATTTAAAAGATCAATCTCTCTGCTACCCATTATGTATCTGCTAGTTTGCCCTTTAATTTATTTATACTTTGGGTTTTTCATAAAAGGGAAGCCATGCAATATTTAAAGTTTGATCTCTTTCACTTAATCGTTTACCCTAAAGTTGATCCATTTCCCCACAGATGACTCAAATTTACCCTTCTTTCTGGCATACATTCTCCATTGTGTGTGAATATATTTTCTTTTTTTTGGTACCAGGAATCGAACTTGGGTCCTTGGGCTTGCATATATTTTATTTATTCATCTGTTGATGGACATAAAGGCTGCCACCAAGATTTAGCTTTTATGAGTCGTGCCATGTGACTCTTGGATATGCTCGTGTCAGGTGGGTGCCGGTTCCCGAGTTACAGCCCAGGTCTGCGTGTGTCATTGCAAAATGACGTCTTTAATCCTTTGGGAAGGATACCTTGGAGGGCACAACTGGGTAAAATGGAATTTCTATTTTCAGGTTTACTGATTTCCATATTGTTTATACTGGTTTATATTCCCACCAACAGTGCAGAAGTGTTCTTTTTCCCCCACAGCCTCACCAGCATTTTTTGTTATTTGATTTCTTGACAAGCCATGCTTTCTGGAATAAAGGAGAATCTCAGTGTTGCTTTAATTTGCATTTCTCTAATGATCGGAGATGTTAAACAATTTTTCATGAATTTATTGGTCATCTGTACTTCTTCTGAGATCTGTTCATTTTCCCCCCTTGTTGACTGGGTCTTTTATTTTGGGGTATCTGATATTTTTGACTTCTAACAGTCTAGATATTAGTTCTTTGTCTGAGGAGTAGCTGCAAGACTTTCTTTCCTACTATCTAGGTTATCTTTTCACTCTAGTTGTTTCCTTTGCTGGGCAGAAGCTTTTTTTTTTTTTGGTACTGGGGATCAAACTCAGGTCCTTGATCTTGTGAGGCAGTC